GTGCAGTTGTAGGGTGCTTTGCTATAATTCATGAATCCGTCTATGCTCAGAAGTAGAGGATGGTGGAAGGAAGTCATCTTCAGACAGGACAAAGTCAATGTCCAGCCAATGTGGTCCTCTAGGGATATACGGTTCTAGGGTTCTACGGTTCTAAGAGGCTCCGCTTCGAGCAGAGCCAAAGCTCCGGACGGATTTAAACAACGTAAAGCTCCAGCCAAGCGAATTGATTCACAGAGTGCCCCAAAACGTTACGGTACCGTTCATCTGATACCTCTTGCTACGGTACCTCGGCAACTGCATCACTTGAGAACTTGCGAGAGGGAAAGAAAAACAGCCAGGCTACAGGTGGGGGGTTGTGGCATGCTACTGTGTTACTGAAAAACATATGGCATGTTGTTGAAGCATGGATGTGCTGAACATTCCAGGAGTCCTATATGAGCCACTCTGAATCATTAATACATCTAATAAACACTTTGTGAGGCAGTCTCACATGCCAAAGACACCGATCGACCATTGCGCATTGCACGCTGTCAACCTCGACGGGCGAGTTGGACAATGCCTTCAGGCAGCTGATCCAAAAATTGTTGGAGAATGAATGAAAATAATGAAATAATGAATGGAATAATGGACATATTTGAAGAATTTTGAAGATGCGAAACGACCTCGGCCTAGTAATATTCATTGATTTGTATCTCCACACGTTCTATGTTGTCAGAAGGTCGCTGAGGACGATCTCGCAGCACTTCCACTGGTCAACCCTGCCTTGAAAGCATTGACAAACCGCTGCTTGGCACTTTCATCCAGCAGAATGGCCTCAAAGCAAAGCACGACGAGAGCAAAGCACCCCTTCTGCAAGTGCAAACAAGAAAGAAATCAAGTTGCAAGAGGTTGCAAGCATTTCTTATCACCTCTTGTGCAGAGTCATGCCATTGCTTTGACAGAGCTCATGCATCATTTAAGTGTACCACATGTGTAAAGGTGGCCAAATGACAAGCATGAACAACACTGTGCGCGAGAAGTCCTTATTGAAGTTACACTGAATAAGATCTCTCCCTCTCTCTCTCTTTCTCTTTCTCTTTCTCTGTCAGCCTGGATTGCTGCTGTAATGGTGTGACGCTCTTTGGCATCAGCACAAAGCACCACAAAATCTGCCTGGCAGCAAAGCTCGATTGTGGAATCTACGTCTGCAATCACGTGGAGGAGTAGATTACTGCGCAACTCTCCTGCACATTCCTGCGCTTAGAATGAAAACAGCTGTATTGTGATAGCGCCTTTCCGTTGTGGCAGTAAGATACAGTAAGACTAAGGTGATGTACAACGGAGCAATTGCTTTATGTTCACTTTGCAATGCAAAGAATCTGTTGGCAACGGGCTTCCAAACCTGCCCCTTGCATTGCTGAGTTGAGTGGCTGTCCCCCCTTCGTTGGCTGACATATTTTGAAAGAGGCGGTTGGCGGTTTTCATAAATAGGAAATAAACAATAAACAGTCTCTAAAAGTGGGAGCGCTCTGCAGACGTGCTGAGTTTGGATTTAGCAGGGTGAGCATGCTGACGAATACAAAAGGGACAAGAAAGGTACATCTCGGAGATAAGTGGGAGTCAAATGGGAGGTAAGTGGGGAACAAGCGGGAATACCGTGGCAAGTATGACCCTTTGGTTAAATCCACATTGTTCTTGCTCGCTACGCCATCACGCAAGTACTCAATGAGTCAACTGCGACAATCAATTGAGTAAGTTCTCCACACATGTCCAAATGTGCTTCAGACATTTGCAAACAACGGGAGACAATTCTTTGTCAGCTCTTGTCATGCTCCAACTGGAATGTCTGACATTTGACCAGACCTGCACTTCGCCCGTCAAGTGCTGCATGCTGATTAACCGGCGTGACCGGAGCGAAGGCGTAAAACTCACTTGGCTCTGGTCGCCTCAGACGGATGTCATCTGAGACCAGGTTCGAAACCAAATCCTACAGAATTTCCATGAAAATCTAAAAAAGTTGCTAGATTGCAAGTTCAAAGATGTTCAAAGTTCAAAGCAATCATTTGGGGGTGCGGCGAGGCAGCAATACTTTGGCTGCTCGGAGCGCCAGAACCTTCACCTTGGCAAGAAATTCAAGATGAATTGATTGAATTGAGGAGCTTTCGAACATGGAGATGTGATGAATGCGTGGGTGATTATTGTGATCGCTGGGTCAAAACCTTGAACATCAAATGTCTTTTAGCAAGGAACCCAAAGACATTGCCTGACTTGCCAATGTAGGGGACTAAACCAGTCACACACCAGTCACACATCAGGTTGTGTTGGAGAGATCAAGGCAATCAAGGCAAGGGATTGGCACAAAGCGGGTACCGGGTAGAGGGACTTCTGCCCCCGGTCAAAAGTTGAAACGGTGAAAACTTCTGATAACAAAATCACCAAAATGACTTTCGCAGGGAACAAAAACTGTTTGCTGCAACGTTTGCTGATAACAAAATGATTGCTGCATCCCAGGACCCTGGGAACCCAAGTTTGTTGATAGATTTTGGCGGTGGGTGTTGCGGGAATTGTTGAAATCTATCAGGTCTTGTATTGCAAGAGGCGTCCTATCTTTCCAATTCATCTGTCAAGTTTTTCTCATAGTGCTCATTTTCTAGCATCGCATTCGTTGAGCCATCATGTTTGCATCACCACAAATCGTTTCCCATCTGCTCATGTCCCAACAAAGCCTTGCCAGTCTGCACTTCCAGCATGGAGGAAAGGCTTGCCTCCAAAATGCGCAAGATCTGCAACAAAAGAAAAACAGGCAGAAGGATCGGCAAGAATCGACACAGAATCAAAACGTTGGACATTGGATCTGAGTTGGCCATGTAAGGTGAAACATGAAGACTCCAAAGATCTCCAAAGGATCTAAACAGCATCAGCTCAAGTTTTGGCGTCTCCGCTCAGGAGCGGTTTCATATGGTTTCATGGGTTTGAACTGCTTTGAAGAATTTCGGGGATCAGCAAGACCTTGTACCAGCTGAGTTGTGAGAATGCTGTGCAGGAATTGATCTTGCAGCTCCAAACCCAAAGTCGCACAGCCAGTCACAACAAATGTTCAACTTCCAGTTCTGTTACAGCTGGACTCGGTGGTTTGAAGACTTGCTGCCTGCAAAGCCTGCGTTTTTGCCACAGAACTCATGCCCAGGACCTCATCATGCGCATGAGCAAAAGTGTGCATCTGCATCCTGCAAGTGCCACGACACTTCAAGCATCACAAATCATCACAAAACATCACAAATCATCACAATACAAATGAAATGTCAATCTGTTGATGTGTACATGCGTACGCAACAGTATCAAAACAATGCAAACGCTGCAAACAAATGGAACGTGAAAAGACGGCAGCCTACTGTATCAGTGGTCGAGGATCTGCCTGCATATTTCTGCTGTGCTTTTAGTTCGCAACATCTTTTGGAGTTCAGTGTGCATCTTTGATCATCTTTGCATGTAAACTTGACGCGCTGATCCATGCTTCCTACATGAAGCACCGCTATCACTTCCTCTTCAGGCTCAAAGCCCGGAACTTGGAAGGTTCATGATTGTTTTTGTATCTTTTTGTCGTGAGTTTTATTTGAATTGTAGTTGGAGTTGGGCTGGATTGGCACAAGGTGTGTTTGGGTGCTCTTGGTATTGCGAGAGACGGGCTCGCATTCTGTGGCGCGCAGTGGTAACCACATCTGATCAGCATCTGGTCAGCCTAATGTGACACTCTGACATGGCATTGCTGAGGACTCATCTGCCTGAGGTGTTGAAGCAAAGCTAATCGTTGCCTGTTGCAAACAGCCACATGTGGATTTTCAACAAATACATTTTGAACCGTTTTGCATACATGATTCCCACCTTGGAAAAGGGGTCTTTGAGAAATTTCAACCATGTCGACGAAAAGGATTAAGGGAATTAAGGGTTCGAGAATGGAATCATATTTCGACTTTCGTTGAGCCAGTTGAGCCTTACCTGTTTAACCAGAACTGTATTCTTCGCCGCACCGGCACTGCCGGCACTGCCTCGATGCCATCAGGTTGATCGCCATCTTTTTCAGGCGACTCCGGCAATTGCCCTTCTGGAAGAAACCACATGGGCTCCCTTGGTGCAACACTTGACATACTGGCCAAGTTATCATGAGTATTCATAAGTTATCCAAGTTCTTGTCACAACATCTTGGAACTTTGTTTCGGTCTGAAAGGAAAAAGAATGGAACATTCCTGAACCTTGCGCGAACGAGTATTTGCTTGTATCGGATTGGGAGGATCCTGAAACCGAGCACATGTTTGATTCAGTTTGGTCACTTGACAGATCTTGACACCTAAGACAGCTAAGTCAGGGACATGGTTGTGGGCAACCCAGCCGGCAAAGTCGTAGCTGTAGTGGTGATGGTGAACGTTGTCACTGTCACAGTTGTTGCAGTGGTAAAGGTTTGAGTCGTGACCTGGGTATCAAAACGAGACTGTCAAATCTGCCAACAAGGCCGAGAAATTAACAGGAAAACCAAAAGAAAAAAGAGAAATAAAACTGTCTTCAGTGTTTCCCTCATATTGTCTTTGCAAATTTTGATGCCAAAGAAAACATGTTTTTTTTGGTAGCAATTCTAGAATACATAACGTGAATCACTTTACTTGACGTCTCAAGGCTAAATCTACTACTGTAATGCGAAGCAAACACAAGAAAATCGATGTAAAGTGCGATGAATGAATATCTGAATATATCTGAATAATTAGCAAACTTGGGCCGACTCCAGACTGTAGGCTCCGGCTGTGCTAGATGGAGGAATCGTTGCCTCTTCCAGAGGCACAAAAGGGGGTCAAAAGCGAAAGTCACTGAAAGTACATGAAAGTACCTTCTACATCCTGGTACAGTTGATATAGTGTTTGTATGGGTTACAGTGGCCTACACACTTGCAAACATCCTATTCTGCTTCTGCAATATCTTGGCGGCAGCTGCTGCTGGTCCCACTGTGGTACTACCAAATCTGCTGTAATAAGCAGATTCCCGATTTCACCAATTCCCACATAATGGGAATCTGCTTATTACAGGTCTGATTTAAGGGTACCCCATTCTAGCAGATCCTTATTTGAGCGTTTTTGAGTGTTTTGGGGGTGTGATAAGCAGATGAAAATCTGCTTATAACCTGTCCGCGACTATATACTATAGGTCCATACAACCGTTTTCGCAAGATAACATGCGTATCCATGCGTACTATGTCCACATCCAGGGCAGCTACATGCACTTCTTCTCCCCCCACACTCCAAAAAATAGCTACGACCACTGGCGCCACCACTGCCACTACCAGCACAACTACTATCATCTATCAAGGAAACCCCAAGAACAGGTCACATGTCGCATGCTTGTGACAACAAGTCCCTCGAAAAAGTAGGTAGAACTCTTCCAGGGGTGATACCTGCGTGTATATCAGGACAATGCAATGAAGAAAGTATAGATTGCATGGAGATACTGTGTGCAGAAACTTGAAGTGGAGTTCACCAAATGTTCATTGCTTTTTCAGCCCGTCGTAACATGATCAGCAGGGCGTCAAAAATGTGTCATGCTTGCATCATGTGTGTCACTGATCCATGATGTCGCGCTTGTGATCCTTGATGCTCTTGCCTCATCAGAGTCATCGCCCCAAATGATCGTATTGCTCCATGCCTCCGTGACGAAACAAAGGGACCAAGGAAAAGAACACAAACGATGGATTTTGATGGATCTTGATGGATCTTGGACCTGGTGGATGGTGGGTCTTGGTCGCTTTGTCAGAAGTGACTAGTCGGTGGCTCAGCCGTCATTTGGCCACACGGCCGTTCCACAAGGCCGCTTCGCAAGACTTCATACGTTAGAATATGAATATCTCAGATATCTTTACATTTGACATCATTTCACATCATTTCACATCATTTCACATCATTTCACATCATTTCACCATCTGCAACGGCACTGGCGGTCACCGGTCTTGGATCCCTGACACTGTGGGCTGCTTCACCCGACACCTGTACCACATGGGGCAAGTGCAAGCTTGAAGTCACTCTCAGAATCACTGTCGAGAAGAGACACTATTACAATCAATGCAAACCATTGCAAAAACCATTGCAAAAACCATTGCAAAAACCATTGCAAAAACCATTGCAAAAACCATTGCAAAAACCATTGCAAAAACCATTGCAAAAACCATTGCAAAAACCATTGCAAAAACCATTGCAAAAACCATTGCAAAAACCATTGCAAAAACCATTGCAAAAACCATTGCAAAAACCATTGCAAAAACCATTGCAAAAACCATTGCAAAAACCATTGCAAAAACCATTGCAAAAACCGTTGCAAACTGCGAACTCAGGAAGCTAAATTGGCAATGCATCCTGTGGCAAACTCTGTGACTCGCCTCAGAATATTGCAAAGCTCTCACCCTGGCGTAAGCAAAGGCTTCCACCTGTTGTGGGCAAAGTGAGACGATTGCACTCCCAGCCTTGATCTCTCTCTGTTCCATACAAGGGTATACAAATGCACACAATCACATAATATGAATTGACTTACAAAATCTTACAAAGGTTATAAGCGGGCGTTTCTATTTCGTATCATTTCAATCCAATGATTCCAATGGTTGCATGCTGAGCTGGAGTTCGGTTTCCACTGCCTCGGGCAAGGCTAGCTCGGTGTCTCGAACAATCTGGGTCTGGTAGCTTGCGAAGCTGGGGACCTCGCAGTTGAATCGACACTTCGACCCATGAAGTTGTCCCCGTTGTTCCTGTGTTTCTTGTGACGTTTTTTGAGGTCTTCTTGAAAGTGACGAGTCGACGATCCGGAGCTGGGCATCTGATGGGTTGAACAGACCGAAGCATCGCAACAAGGTCGATGTGAAAAATGACACGAGGGGGCTTACAGCCCTTCTACATATGCATAGCTTCATCAAGCACTAGTTGATGTATGTTGCTGCATGTTTCCGTACTTTCGACTACGCGACTCCAAGTCGTATCTGATTTCAAACGGCCCAATGGCCTTAAGCTGAAAGTGCTCTGACATGGATCTTGACATGGCCGACAAAAAAAACAGCCATGAGAACCGTGAAGTAGCAAGGCCCAGCCATGTCTGGCTACCCACTTTTTATCTGTTTGATCTATTTGATGTGCAGCTGACCTGCAACTGATCTGCTTCCGATTGTGCTGATGCCTGCAGCCTTCTGCATCTGAACCGTTCCTTTATTGCAACCAAGCTGCGTTTGAGAACCAAACCTCGAAGCAAGGAGTTCTGCAGCGAACCTCCTGATGTTGCAATTTGCGTCCATAGTTTCACGCTTTTCTTCAGTCTCGTAGAGTCTTGTCCGAAAACGGCAAGAAATGCGAGGTGACATGTTTTTGCTAGCGGGTGGAAAACCGCGCGTGTAGTCGTGTTACTTTTTGAATATGGGGTTTGGGTGGGGTGGGGTGGGATAATAACGTTCATGTGACTTGCGTACACACGTGATGCTACGCTGCTGCTACGTCAGTGGTTGGGGGTTGGGTGGGGTGGAGTGGGATAATAATGTTCATGTGACTTGCGTACACACGTGATGCTACGCTGCTACGTCAGTGATTGGGGGTTGGGTGGTGCGGGGTGGGATAATAACGTTCATGTGACTTGCGTACACACGTGATGCTTTGAAATGTGTGCTCACGACCCACAAGCATGGTCGCAAAAACATCTTGGTGACAGACGGTGCCCCATGCTACCCTAAACTCACCTCTGAAAATAATATGATTCATGAATCTTGCAATCATAGTAAGGGCATCTTTTGCATCAAGAAGAGAAAGAAATGGGGTACCTTGCTTGTGCACACCAGTGGTATCGATATGTATCGATGGTATGAGGAAACTTTCCAAAGGTGCAGTATCAAGTTCTTGGAGTGCACGCAAAGGTGGTGCTGTTAACCCTCAGTTGCTTCAAGGAATTCGAATTTGGCAACGGCGATGGCACCATGGAAATTACAAAGACTTCCTCAGTCTCACCGGCCACGCTCTAAGCAAACGCTTGGAGAAGTAAGACGTCCAAAGCAGAAGTAAAAAGCGAACACCATCCCAGAAGCACAAAACTCTGCAAATACCACATCGTTCCTTCAAAGCCACTTAATTTCCCCCGGGAAAATTCAAGGTAATGTTGATCTAAAAATGTGTACGGCGCCACAGCGCCAGAAGAGTTGTTTTTTTCAAAAAGTGCTTATACTACATAACCGCTAGCGCGGTTTCCCACCCGCCGGGATGTTTTTTATGAGGCCTTTCTTTTGTGAGCTGTTGGTGAGTTGCGTGTCCATCAATCTGCCAGAGGAAGGATCCACAAAAGTTGTCGCTCCATCTCGATGGTGCCAACTGTCTCTTTGCCATGCGTAGGTGGCACGGTCCAATGCAGTGTTTGCCCTTTTGTAGACGCCTGCGAAGCTTTCTGCAAAACTTTCAATCCCCGTGGAGAATCAAAAGTCTGCAACAATGTGCAACAATCACAACCAAGATGCCATATAATCCATATGCGTAAGGGTGATGTAGGGCCGAGCCATTTGCCATTCTTTTTGTTTGTTTCTTTACTTCTTGCCGCTTGTCATGTCCTTTTGTCTTTCTGCTCTCTGATTTTTCCCGGTATGTCTAGTCTGGCCACAAAATCCTGGCTGCCATGTTGTCTACCATGTCATGACGCATGCTTCTAGCACGCCCATCACACCAAACCAAACAGGTAGTTTGTCCATTTGATCAGCCAAGACAGGTGCAGATAGGTGCAGATAGGTGCAGATAGGTGCAGATATTCAGAAGTTTAGAGCCGTTCAAGCTGCCCGGCCTTCACATCCGCTTTGCAGTACTCTGCCTGGACCAAGTCGCAGAGTGCGAAAGATATCCGGTCTCAGGAGGTCTCAGGCCTTTTTTTCTCACCCTTTTACTCTTGCAGTTTGCAGCCCAAATTGTCCTTTTCACTCTTGCTATCTCTTGCTTTAGACTCTTGCTTGTCTAAAAGAAAATTGAAAAGAACATCTGATCAGCCTACAATATCTGATAGATTTATCTGGGATCCTGGCTGCTTTTCCGAACGGCCCGGCAGCCTGTGGGAACAGCGGAACTAACTATACCAAGAATGACGGTATCATCACCGTATCATCACGGTATCAATAGGATCGGTAGAAACATCTCTTGCAGATGGAAGGCTCTGTACAGCCTGCAACAACCTGCCAATGGATTGTATATATATATATATAAATATATAAGGCCAGTATGATCAAGGGAAATCATCTGTTTTTTCTTCTCAAATGGTCCATCCTGAGCTCTTAAATGTCTTGCCAATCACAGCAAAAGTCAAATCTCAAACACTAGCTGGTATTTCTAGGTTTTGGTTCCGCATTCTATTTGTCTTCTGTTTCTTTTGCAGTCTTGTGGCACTATTTGCTATCTGCAGCATCAAGAATGTCTGGCGTCTGCCTCCGGGTTGCAAAAACTGCAGGCTCTGCAAACGGTGTTGCAAGCGGGACAACCATTCTTGCACTCATCTGGACAATAGCCTCTCATCGAAGCCAAGACTGGGGTGAGATTGGAAATTGAAGCTGATCGAGACGTTCTAATATGCCAATATTTCAAGTCGCCTGGTCCTGCTGTTCTTGTGGTTCGATAATTTTTACGTGTGACTTACGACTGCCTCTCAAGGGAAAGTATGCAAAAGGAGCTTTCTCGTGCGTTTGTCACTCTTACAAAGACTCTTACGACCGCAACTCGTCCTTCTGCTTGAAAGGTGATGAGTGGTGAAATTGTCGTCTCCGAACCTGGCGCTAGAAAAGGGAGAAGTAAAATAGCAGAGGTAGATCAGTGGAAGATTTTGAAGCAAACTAAGAATCTGAACATGATCCAAGGTGGTTCTTTAAAAAATGGTGAACCCCAGCTCCAATATCATGAAAGATTGTCAAGAGATCATGTAAAATCTACAAACAAAACATGCATCATGCATCATCATGCATCATGCATAAAACAGAAACAAAACACAAACAGATCATGCAAGACGCATTGCTTTGAACTTCAACATATTTTTCCTCCCTCAGAGACATCTCCATGGCCTGGCAGGGTAGGTGGCCCACGGTACCTGAGGCACTTAGACGAAGCATCGAGCAGTCGAAAGAGTCGACCAAGGTCGCTGTCAGGCTGTCAGGTGGAGTCACCATGAAGTCACGACATGTTCGCAGTCAATCCCTGCCGCGGATGATTTGAGGTTTTGAACCCTCCATGAAAATTCCACTTGACCAAAAGTCATTGTGCGATTGCGAATGCGCAGACAAGATTGGCAATCTGAATACCTTCAAACTTTCAATGCTTTGAATGGTAATAGATGATGTTCTGTCACTGTTATGTGTCTGTGAATGTCACGAGGCCAAATCTTTCTCAACTCCTCTGTTTTTCATCGACATTGTGATTTCATTGTGACTTCATTGTGACCTCATGATATTTCCAGGATCTTCCTTACAGTCTCCCTGCATCGAGGTGCTCCGGCGAAGTCAGAAGTTCCTGCGCTGATAAACCAACCACACAATTCACTGAAGTTCACAAAAAGTGGGAACCATTCCCACCAAAAGCTTCCCCCGAATTCCATTCACTAGTTCGAAGGACAAATGCATGCTCAGAGTTAAATTCATGCCCCAAAGACTTACAGGGGCCAGTACCGAAAAAAGAAAGCTCAACCTGGTAACCAACATATCTTCGAAATGTCTAAGACCGTTGCTTTCGGTGGAGTCTGCCATCATTGACCAAAACTCATTTCTCTGTTGCCCAGGTCTCAAGATCCTGTTTCTCTGCAAAGACTCCCTGCCACTTGCCAGCTACTTAAGACATCTTAAGACCTCTGACTTCTTGAATGAATCCACAGAATCAGTATGACCTGAAAAGCAAGAGTCAAAGGCCTGGTATATAGGCTCGGCAAAACACCAAGTTATATACATGGATTCAACTCAAAGAAATGGCGCAAACTTTTTCAAACGCTTTGACTGAAAGCAATTTATCAACTTTATCAAAGCAACATGTGACAGTCCGACTTTGATATCGATGCTTTTGCAACTCCTCAGTCGTGGTCACCGTGCTCGTGCTGGTTGTCGGAGGATCGGTTACACCTGCACAACAAAGCATGAACTTCAACATCAGCAGCGGTGACACGGTGACACTGGCACAGGACTGCGTGCCTGCTGCAAAAACAGGCTGCCATACTAGTCACTCCTGCTATAATACGGTATGAATTCGCTGAAGAATGCAAAGAATAGGTTCACTTGTTTCCAAAGCTGGTGGACTATACATCTCTTCTTCAGTTCAATTGTTTCTGCAGCGTAATGGGAACTGGGATATCCTCAGAACTGAGTGCAACAGAGTAAATTCCCATATGGCCATTTGAATCGTTGCATTCGTTCCTGGATGGCAACTTTGGCTTTGTGGTCAGTAGCACAATTCGACTCCGATTTGGCCCGTCAAACAATCAATCTCCAGGTTTGTTTGCAAACAAGAGTTATGCATGCAGGGTTAAGCCAGGCAAGATGAACGCTGCATTGTGCGTATGTATACTCCAAACGCATTCTTCAATAGCTATCACAAAACTTTACCAAACCAGTGATCTGACGTAGCTCTGTGAACCCAAGCTTGCGACAGTAACAGAAGTCAGCTTTCAACAACACCCACGCCTGAAAAGTCTTTTCCCCAAAAGTTTGGGTCAAGGACGTTGTCCTCTGGGTCAAGCGTAGTCAGAGTCCCGGCTTTGGCTGATGTTCCAAGCGTCGTTGAGGTGGAAGTTGTTTCAAATATTTTGGGCGGAGGAGCATCCGCTATTGCCATTGCAGGACTAGTGGTTGTAGTGGTTGTAGTGGTTGTAGTGGTAGTGGATGTGGTCGTTGTTGTCGTTGTGGTCGTAGTTGTAGTAGCTGTCGCTGCCGGACTTGGAGAAGAGTAGTGATGTGGGGAATCTTCCACAGTTCCACTGAGTCTTCTTCCAGCACCAATTCTCTCCTCTGGCATTCAAAGTTGGTGAACTAACAATCAACCGTCGCTGAACTGTTGTGACAATGATGCAAGAACACAGCACTTGCAAGCAGTGACCTGCTTGAGATGTAAAGATGCTGCCCAGCCTGTGCAATCAGAAACAACAACATAAAATTTAAGGCGCAACAATGGAAGTGCACCAAGTCAAGAGTCCATGCGAGGTAGTTGCTTAGTTGGTAAGACGGTACAAATCTAACCGGGACTATTTGTCATTGCTCTTTCCGTGTAAGAAGGTTAGATGATGATTCGGCATCTGGCTGTACGGGATTGTTTGGGTTTGCAGCGAACACATCCCTGAAATAAAATCTGATGGAAACACCAAGCAAAAGGCAGTAAAACAGGCAAGGAACTGCACCTCGTTTGGATTTTTCTTGTTCTCTTTGTCTAGAGCAGGCTCTGAAGAAACATACCAACTCAGATTTTTCAGAAGCCTTCAAACCTGAAACCTCCATATTGATCACATTGGAATGTCATGTTGTCGAAGGTTTCCCTGGTTTCCCCTTGTGAACGTACTATTCTCTATCTCCACGCTCCACTGGAAGTTTTCTCGATGTTTCACTTGGTTTGGTTTCACTGCGAAACGCAGTTTGTGTGTGCATCTATGTCTATACGTCTGTATGTCTGTATGTCTGTATCTCTGTCTTTATGTCTGCATGTTTGTATGTCTGTATGTCTGTATATCTGTATGCCTGTATGCCTGTATGTCTGTATGTCTGTATGTCTGTATCTCTGTCTTTATGTCTGCATGTTTGTATGTCTGTATGCCTGTATGCCTGTATGTCTGTATGTCTGTATCTCTGTCTTTATGTCTGCATGTTTGTATGTCTGTATGTCTGTATATCTGTATGCCTGTATGTCTATACGTCTGTATGTCTGTATGTCTGTATCTCTGTCTTTATGTCTGCATGTTTGTATGTCTGCATGTCTGTATATCTGTATGCCTGTATGCCTGTATGTCTGTATGTCTGTATCTCTGTCTTTATGTCTGCATGTTTGTATGTCTGTATGTCTGTATATCTGTATGCCTGTATGCCTGTATGTCTGTATGTCTGTATCTCTGTCTTTATGTCTGCATGTTTGTATGTCTGTATGTCTGTATATCTGTATGCCTGTATGCCTGTATGTCTGTATGTCTGTATCTCTGTCTTTATGTCTGCATGTTTGTATGTCTGTATGTCTGTATATCTGTATATCTGTATGCCTGTATGCCTGTATGTCTGTATGTCTGTATGTCTGTATCTGTGTCTTTATGTCTGCATGTTTGTATGTCTGTATGTCTGTATATCTGTATGCCTGTATGTCTGTATATCTGTATGCCTGTATGCCTGTATGTCTGTATGCCTGTATGTCTGTATCTCTGTCTTTATGTCTGCATGTTTGTATGTCTGTATGTCTGTATATCTGTATGCCTGTATGTCTGTATATCTGTATGTCTGTATATCTGTATGCCTGTATGCCTGTATGTCTGTATGCCTGTATGTCTGTATCTCTGTCTTTATGTCTGCATGTTTGTATGTCTGTATGTCTGTATATCTGTATGCCTGTATGTCTGTATATCTGTATGCCTGTATGCCTGTATGTCTGTATGCCTGTATGTCTGTATCTCTGTCTTTATGTCTGCATGTTTGTATGTCTGTATGTCTGTATATCTGTATGCCTGTATGTCTGTATATCTGTATGCCTGTATGCCTGTATGTCTGTATGCCTGTATGTCTGTATCTCTGTCTTTATGTCTGCATGTTTGTATGTCTGTATGTCTGTATATCTGTATGCCTGTATGTCTGTATATCTGTATGCCTGTATGCTGTATGTCTGTATGCCTGTATGTCTGTATCTCTGTCTCTATTTCTGCATGTTTGTATGTCTGTATGTCTGTATATCTGTATGCCTGTATGTCTGTATATCTGTATGCCTGTATGCCTGTATGTCTGTATGCCTGTATGTCTGTATCTCTGTCTTTATGTCTGCATGTTTGTATGTCTGTATGTCTGTATATCTGTATGCCTGTATGTCTGTATATCTGTATGCCTGCATGTTTGTATGCCTGTATGTCTGTATGCCTGTATGTCTGTATATCTGTCTGTATGTCTGCATGTTTGTATGTCTGTATGTCTGTATATCTGTATGCCTGTATGTCTGTATATCTGTATGTCTGTATATCTGTATGCCTGTATGCCTGTATGTCTGTATGCCTGTATGTCTGTATATCTGTCTGTATGTCTGCATGTTTGTATGTCTGTATGTCTGTATGCCTGTATGTTTGTATGTCTGTATATCTGTATGCCTGTATGCCTGTATGTCTGTATGCCTGTATGTCTGTATCTCTGTCTGTATGTCTGCATGTTTGTATATCTGTATGCCTGTATGTCTGTATATCTGTATGCCCGTATGCCTGTATGTCTGTATGCCTGTATGTCTGTATATCTGTCTGTATGTCTGCATGTTTGTATGTCTGTATGTCTGTATGCCTGTATGTTTGTATGCCTGTATGCCTGTATGTCTGTATATCTGTATGCCTGTATGCCTGTATGCCTGTATGGCTGTATATCTGTCTGTATGTCTGCATGTTTGTATGTCTGTATGTCTGTATGCCTGTATGTTTGTATGCCTGTATGCCTGTATGTCTGTATATCTGTATGCCTGTATGCCTGTATGTCTGTATGCCTGTATGTCTGTATATCTGTCTGTATGTCTGCATGTTTGTATGTCTGTATGTCTGTATGCCTGTATGTTTGTATGCCTGTATGCCTGTATGTCTGTATGCCTGTATGTCTGTATATCTGTCTGTATGTCTGCATGTTTGTATGTCTGTATGTCTGTATGCCTGTATGTTTGTATGCCTGTATGTTTGTATGCCTGTATGCCTGTATGTCTGTATGCCGGTATGTCTGTATATCTGTCTGTATGTATGCATGTTTGTATGTCTGTATGTCTGTATGCCTGTATCTCTGTATTTCTGTATGTGTGTCTGTATGTTTGTATGCCTGTATGTCTGTATGGATGTATGGGTGTATGCATGTATGCATGTATGGATGTATGGATGTATGCATGCATGAATGCATGTATATAGGCATATTTGCACGTCTGCATGTAGGCATGTATGCATGTAGGTATGTAGGTATGTATATAGGTATGTAGGTATGTAGGTATGTATGTAGGTATGTATGTAGGTATGTAGGTATGGACGTATGGATGTATATATGTATGCATGTATGCATGTATACATATATATCCTTTTATGCATGTATGCATGCATGCATGCATGCACGTATGGATGTATGTACGTACATAGGCAGGTACAGTATGTACGCATGCATGTATGCATGTATGTATGCATGCATGTATGCATGTATGTATGCATGCATGTATGTACGTAAGTATGTATGCATGTATGGATGTATGCTTGTATGAACATGTATAAATAATGTATCTATACACATACTGTTTGTATATGTATACATGGCCACATACTCAATTGCATGTGCGAAAATGAGAACATGTTCGCATAAGACATCCGATGTGAATGAACATTGCTGTTTGCTTGCGCTTTGCAAACATCAACTTGTATACTATCTTGCAATCCGATGTGTATTATTATCTCGTCAATTGCCGCCTTCCATCCAATCTGCTGCTGAGGCAAACCTCAATCCGGGCATGCTGAGGACACCTATGCCCATGGGATGACCCAGCTGCCAAGACAAGACCAGGGAAACCGTACAACGCACGAAAGATTCAAAAGATTCGAAAGCCTGTGGGAAGGTAAAAGAAGAAAGCCCTTCACTATTAGAGAATTCAGTTAAGTCATGCCGCCATGCCCTGCTTTTTTTTGCGAACATCGTCAGAGATAGATGCCAAGCTTCTGGATGAGAAATAGCAGAACGAGCATTGCTGCATACGGTCACATTGTTGGAGATGGTCGCTGCGATTGCTGAAACTGTGTGTCTGGATGCGTGCTAACTGCTCGGACATGTCCAAAGATAATTGTTCAAAGCAAGAAATGCCAAATTTCCTTCTATCAAAGTACGGATAGCAGTATTGCGGCAAAGTCAGAATATGTCACTTCGACAAATGCTTTGTGCCTCAATCCCATTTCCATCCAAAACATCTTGGCTGTGCAGCTCAAGCACCAAAGTGGTTTGCGATCTGTCATTTGGTAAAGTGTCTCAAGGGTGTGTGTGTGTGTGCGCGTGTGTGTGTGTGTGTGATTGTCTACTCCTTTTTGTTTTAAAATCTTGAACTTTTGTCTGCTCTACACTGTCTGAAACTGAGTCTTTGAATAAAGAATCTTGAAATCCAATCACTTCTGCAGAAAGAAGCCATTGCTCGGGCTGCTGCCGCTGTTCGCAAATAGACAAAGCACTTCAAGTTCTCGATACTTTTCAGTCTCTCAGCCCGATGTCTGACCGCTTCCAGAAGTGCTTTTCACCTGTGTCAAGCACGTCTTGAACTCTTGGGCAAAGCATGTGAATGAAATCACCACAGTTGTTTGAAGGTTTGTGATCAGGTGGCAGATTTTTGTTAGCGGAGTAAACCTGAAGCATAGGACGCGAGTTGAAGGCACACAAGGTGTTGCAAGATAGATCCTGTATGAGACTTTGTCCAAAGCTCTGCCTCTGTAAAGGGCAAGGCCTGCAGAGGAAATGTATGGTTTCTCAGGATAACACATGGGGATTTGGGGCAAGAGACTGAGAAAGAATCGAATTCTATTGAAATTTAAACATGTTCAATTTGCCATAGTTTTGACATGAGGAACACTTGAATTTTGAACGATTCCCCGATTCAAGGGAAAATTCATCTTGGCAGCTGCGCTCTGCCACTGAGGCAACCACGGAAGAGGTGCAAGCGAGCTTTTTGCTTCGCCTCTTACTCTTCACATCACTGCAACAAAACAACAGTTCGGAAGCAAATGCATGGCAGCCACCCAGCACTGTCTCTTTCACTTTCTCTGCCACTTCATATATTATCTACATGTTGGTATAGACAGTTTGTCTATCTCCACTTGTGTCTGGGACCTCTCAACCCAGCAAGCCTCGTGAGGATGGGCTGGTCTGGCAGCCAGATCAGCCAAATGCCAACCAAGTTTAGTTCAACAATCTTTCAACTACTTGATTGGCTGCACTTAAGAAAATTCCGCAGCTAACCTTGCCAATAAGAAAATGTATTGAAACATATTGAAACAACATCTGTCTTTCCATACGGACCCAAGAGTCAGAATTAGCAGCTCAAGAACAAACAAGCGCCTGTGCCTCACATGAGTTCGTGCCTTTCCAAAATGTTCTATTTGGGAGTGATTTAGAGCTGTCCAGAAGACTGCGTCATCAAGCGTAGAGCAATTTTTATGGGGCAATGCTAACAATGCTCATCATTCAGTTTGCCTCCGTTTCCGAAGAAAGTGCTCGCTGACTTGGTGTCCTCACATACACGTTTGACACTTCAGCAACTATTGTTTTTCTCAATCTCACATCGTTGCTAGCCTCCTTGTAGTTGTTGAAGGTTCAGCTGGTGATGATACTGTCAAAGGAACTCCGAGCTACAGACTGTTTTCAATCGCATTAGCCCAGAAGTCTTCAGTCCAGTTGGCATGTTCTTGAAGTAGAGAGATAGTTTAAAAGGGTAAAAGTCGGTAAAAGTCTTAAGTAACTAGAGAACTAGCTTAGAAGTCTTAAGCCCATTTGGTTTGTCTTGAAGTAGAGACAGAAGTCAGTGAGTCCAGTTGGCATGTTCCTGAAGTAGAGAAATCATTCAAAAGTAGTCGGCGTGTTCCTGAAGTAGAGAAGTAGCTAAGAAGTCTTGAGCCCAATTGGAATGTTCCTGGAATGGAGAAGTAACAGAAGTCATTGCGCAGTGCAACTGAAGTCTCCAGGTGACTTTTGTGTGTTGTTGTTAACGGTGCGCTATGGTGCTTTGCAACTCTGCAGATGTATTGGGCTTGCTGCTTCAAGGATGCGATGGTGCTTTTTCGGCCGATTTTTCTCAACTTCGGCGCTGGTAATTTTCGTTTCAAAATCATTTTAAGAGGTGCTTCACAATCGTCCTTCTTTCGCTTTGGCGCGGAGATCGGATTTTGGAGCTGATACTCATGTCGCCACAAACCATTTTTTAATTTGTGAAGATCAGAAGGAGTGAGAAGAGGTGACAAGAGTTGAGAAGAGGTGAGAAAATGTGAGAAGGAGGTGAGAAGAGTTGAGAAGAACTGAGAAGAGCTGAGAAGACGTGAAAACGGTTCAGAAGGGGTGACAAGAGTTGGCAAGACTTGACAAGAGCTGAGAAGAGTTGAGACGATTTGAACGGCATTGAGAAGAGCTGAGAAGAATTGAGAAAAGTTGACAAGGGTTGAGAAGAAGTAACAAAAGTTGAGAAGAGCTGAGAAGAACAGAGAAGATTTGAGAAGAAGCGAAAGGAGTTGATACGAGTTGAAAAAAATTGAGAAGAGCTGCGGCGAGCTGAGATGGCTTGAGAAGAGTTGCGAAGAGCTGAGAACGCATTCAGAAAAGAGATGAGAAGATGTGAGGCTTCACTCCAACTCCAAAACTTGTTCTTTACTCAGCATTCCAAGCGGCTGGAAACTTCCGCCGCCCGCCTCGTGCAGGTTCTACTTGTATCCGTGCAACAACTGGTTACTGAGCCCTGTGATTCGCAATCATCGAGGCGTGCAAACCAACTCACAAAATCTCAGGCCAAGTCATCCGACGGCTAGGTATGGATATCAAAATTATCAAACTCCTTTCTCTGAGTTCCGCACCCAACCGGCAAGTTGCGTGGAGGTGGAGGAGGGCGCTTTTGATTCTGCATTGCCTATCAGACTGCACACTTGTGAACTCAAGCCCCTGCTTCAAATAGCCTTGATATGAAAGGCAGATCTTGAGTTATATGATGCCGTCAATGATGTCTGTATATGCTGGCAATCTATTTTAGCAAACGGAACGGGTAGTCTTTCAGCTTTCTGACTTCTTTCCGCATCATCCCCCGCGGCCAGACACATCGTCTCTAGTGTGTGACCACTCCGGTGTGGATTCGAGGAGTTTTAAGAACATGGTTTCCTGGTGTTCCCTGCGCTTAAATCATCTTGCTTTGTAGCAATGTCTCTGCACAGTAGCCCGGACCGCAAAGGAAGTCGTTTAGTTTGGTGCCTTGGAGGGCAAACGCTGCACCGCCTCGGAAAGCGCACAAGCTGAGCCAGAGGGTCACCAGGTCAGGTTGCAAATTCTTTTCTTGAGTAACTTCAGCAACTCAAGTCAAATCTTGATGGCTAAGAAAATCTTTGCGGAACCTCCGAATCTCTGGGTTTGCAGGAGCTAGAAGCGGAACTAAAAGTCCATCAGCCTGAGAAGTACGGACCGCAGCAGAGCCATCTGCCTCAAAATTGCCCAAATTCTTTTTAGCAAGTCATGTTTCCACATTGTCAACGCATTCAACACACTCAACGCATATTCGCAAAAGGTGTGGGGATGCCTCATGCGTATTGTGCATGTGGTGAAGCCTGTCACTCGAAACGATCATAGCAAATTGCCTCACAGTCAGAAAACTTGAAGTCCAGGTCACCTGATCGGGGATGGGGTGTGTGACCATCTTGGAGCAAATTTGACATGTTCTTTAATTACACCCCATTGCAGCGTCTGCGTGCATGTTTGTGTAGTTATACTAGCTCCTCATGTTGGCAATTGTTTAGTCTATATCAATTGAGAACAGCATGAATCACAAGCAACATTTTTCCATGTTGTTGCTATCGGGAGTCTATGCTGGTGTAACTCCTGAGACAACAAGAAGACACAAAGGGAGTAAAGAACAAAGATGAGGACCAATCAAAAATGACGCCGTGATGAAACAAGAACAGGACATCGCCACTAGGGGAGACATATGAATGGGAGCCAAGTGAAAAGAAAAGACATCCGGACAGCGGGACACCACTAGCCAGAGTGGGAGACACATGAAGGAAGACACAAAAAGAGAGACACCCGTGGAGCCAGACAACACTGG